TGTAAAGTGTTGGCAAGTTATATTGTTCTTGAACGTTAAGTTAGTAACTTTTGGATAATTATTAAAAATGTTTGGCAATACATTAGTATTATACTTTAGAATGCCATAAATTCTAAAACAAGCGCTATTGCATACGGAAACTATTTAACATTAAGCCCTGGAAACTAGCCTGATTCAGAAAATCCAAACTCTAACTAGAAATTTCACGGTAAAATGCAATTAGTTATTGCAGCTCTACGTAAACATAATCTTGCGAAACCAGTTAGAGAAGCGTGCATTATTGCTTAGAAGTACTACCACTGCAATTACAATAATGCTTCTGTACACAATACATCAAAATTTGAAGCTCAAATCAACCTTTTATCGCTGTCAGCTCGGATAGAATAATCTTAGATTTCTCCGCCAAAATCTCAAACTTGACGATCAAACATATTTTACATTGGCAGATGCGAGCATGAACGGATAAATCCGTGAAACATTCAAAGGACTGAATTCTGCGGCGACGGATTTCAGCTGCGTTCCGGACGGATCAGCTTATATCAGCGCGTTATATTCTCCGTTGCGCTCATTGCAAATGGTGTTAAATATTGATCTGCGAATGCTAGACCGAAAATGCAAGCAGAGATGAATCAAATTAGAATTTGAAATTATTTGCTCATAAATAATAATAATTGTGATGTAAAGTTCCCGGCGCAGGACGATTTTAATAGAATAATTTATAAATGTTATATTGAGTCGAAATCTGATTTGAAATGATTTAAAGGGAGAAGTTAAGAAATTTCCGTTTTGAGAAATTTATCTGAATTTCGAGAAATCCATCAGAATTTTAGGCAATTCTATTTATAAATTTATTCGATGTAAACCTGTTGGTAAATTGGAGATAAATCTAAAAATTCTTTTTTTTAACTGAAGAAATTTCAAAAGTATTCTTCACGCTTTGTGAAAAGTGCCAAAAATATGAATAAAATTAACACCGATAGGCGTGTTTAATCAAGTATTAACTAAAAAGGTTTTATTGAATTAAAAGTTTAAATCGGTAGTACAATTCTCAAAATATTTAAATGAATTGAGGACCTTAACATTTAAATAAAAAAAATTTAAATTAGAGAAAAATCTAAAAATTCCTTTTTTAACTGAAGAATTTTCATAAGTATTCTTCAAACCTTGTGAAAAGTACCAAAAATATGAATAAAATTAACACCGATAGGCGTGTTTAATCAAGCATTAACTAAAAAGGTTTTATTGAATTAAAAGTTTAAATCGGTAGTACAATTCTCAAAATATTTAAATTAATTGAGGAGCTTTGCATTTAAATAAAGAAGGGGAAATGCTTAATTACGCGTACAACTGTTTGTTATTCATGTGTTTGTTAATTATATGTTACTCAAAATGCTAATTGAAAACAGGTAAATTTTATATTAATATGTTATTTTTATATGATAATATACTATGCAAATACAATATCTATGTTACATGTACAACTTATATTTTAAGTTCAGAAGCATTTAAAAAAATGAAATTTTCTCATTCGTTTAGCAGGGGAAGCCAGTGTTTTAAAATAAGCTATTGACAATTTAGTTTTTCAAATATTTTAAAGATATCGTCAGTTATGTTGCTATGTTATATCTTTAATCAAAAAAGATGTTTTTTGCTAGTTCTGTTATACTTAATTATATTTTGATTGTTATGCAGGGTAATACGAATGATTAACGTAATCGTGGTAGCATAAGCGAACTACATCACCAAATTAATATTTTTTAGGTTTTTTGAAACCATCGTGATTATTTTAGTTATGCTTTTCAAACGTGTTTTTATAAAACTCAATAATTTAAAATCGATGCTTATAACCGTTGTTGAACAGCTGACACAATTTTTGGGTCTTTATGTTCAAAGCCGTAGCCTTGTAATTCTAAACCCAATCCAGAAGACAAGGGAACTCCTGGATCAAATATTGGGCGAAATTTGTCTTCGTGGAGGACTTTTTGAGGATGCTAACTCGCATTTGCGTTTCTTGGAATGGAAAACCACGAGAACCTCCCGTGGTAAGCCTGACTGCAAGGGGACTCTTACCCATGATCCATCTACCACTGAGGATATTTCACGTCAGCACCATGGTCGGTGCAAGCCGGATGTGGAATTCGTTTCGACCACCCATCGCTGGGATTCGAACCCGCATCACCACATTGGAAGGAGAATGTTCTATCTCATGAGCCATCATGGCTCAAAGTCGATGGTTACTGAAATTTTAAAAAAAGGTTACGTACTGAAAGCAAAATTAATGGAGAAACGGTAATATTTCGTTATGGGCCATAGTAAAAAGTCGTCATGCTATTGTTGCACCAATGATACATGATTTTGATAATGAGCATTACATCAGGGTAATTGGTGAAGTTTTAATTGATTCCAAATATACTCTTATATAGCGACAACGTATTTCAGAGTAAATTTGGTGCAGATGACAGCTGCACCGATACCGTAAATTTTTATTATATATTTATTATTAAGATAGATAGCTACAGGAGAAGGTAGCAAGACTGTGGTAAATTTTAAATGTCTTAAGTTGTCATGTAAAACATCATTATTCCAGATGTCCCCATGCGAAAATTATTTAAACTCTTAATATAAAACAAATTTTCAAAGAAGTATTAATAGCAGTAATGTTGCACTTTTTAAAGATTTTTTTGCTTTATGAGAAAGTTTAAATTTTAAAAAAAAATCTATTAAATCATAAAATGATAAAATATCGATTTTCGACGAAAATTTTAAACAGATCTTAAAAAATCTAAAGACAAATTGAACTCCCATAACAGTGCTTTGTGTTGTATGCAAAACAACACACTATTTTTTTTAATAGTGAGAGAAGTTATTGACGTGCAACANAGGGGATGGCACCCCCGCTTCGGTAGCCCGACGACCTGCGCGCGAAGTCGAGCACTTTACGGTAGCACAGTTTAACGAGGACCAATACCGCACACCCTCGGTCCCTACGCAGACTGATCCAAGTGGTCACCCACCCGCACACTGCCCGCAGCCAGTGATGCTTGACTTCGGTGATGCAAAACAACAGACTATTTTTTTTAATAGTGAGAGAAGTTATTGACGTGCAACATTTGAGGTTATATATATAAAAAATAACTGGTGTCATTTATAAAATGGTGTTTTTTAACAGTTCTTCAGAAGTAACGAATAAATTTTGTTTAAGTTACTGTTTTTCTCACAAAATTAATAAAAACTCTTACTGTAAAACTCTTATCACAGTATTTATATCAGTTACCTATTTTAACTTTTACCATGATACTTATTACAATTAAAATCACTGGTGTCAATAATATAGTGTTTTTTTGCGACCCCCATAAAGGATCGATTAAATTTTATTGATTAATTTACGACTTTTCTACAAAATTCGTAAATAAAAATATTACCATGGAAATCTATTAACACAGTACATATATTAGTTACCTATTTTACCTTTCACCTCAGTGCTTACCACAATTAAAATAACTGGTGTCAATAATAATATTGTGCTTTTTGTATGATCCTGCAGAAGTACCGTTTATTTCATAAATGACAGCTGTTCTCACAAAACTAAAAAAAAAAAGTTTTAAATATTACAGAAGGTGTATTATAATTTATCAGATTTGATCTCTTAGATATAATCAAATTTTATTAAAATTCAAGTGTCTTTGAAAAAGAGGATATGAGCTATCCGTTTGTAATTAAGCTAATAATTCTCTAAGGGGCATAACATGTACGTTACATTATATACTCATAAATAGCATTATTATAATAGACTATTTCTATCACCAAATTTATTACAAGCAAAATTACCAAATGAAAAGTAAAAATTGTAATTAAGCATGCTTCAGCTTATAGCTGTGAACTTGTTGAATTCCTATTTAAATTCAAAACAATAGAAAGATTTTAGCTTAAAAATTTCCTAAATTCAGCAGCATGAGTCTAATAAAAAAACCTTCTAAAATTAGAACTGAAAATATAAGTTCTAGATATATATTATAAATTTAATGAATCTCACAAAGTTAGTAAAAACAAACATGCTTTAAACAACGTCCCAACTTACAGCTGTAACCGAGTCTTATTTACATCTTTGTAGACTCTTTAAAATTATTTTTAAAATCGAAGCAGTAGAATTAAGATAAGAATTTTAGAATTTGCTGTATTTGTAGCATAATATAAGTGAAATAAAATAAACTGTCACTAATATGAGTTGTAAGTGCTACAAGATATGCACGTTGTTTAAAAAACAAAGATTTTATAAACAATGCGGATTTTATAAACAATGTACTAACTTATAGCTGTAATCGAGTCTTATTTACTTCTTAGTAGATTCTATAAAATTCTTTTTAAAATCGACGCAGTAGAATTAAGATTAGAATTTAAGAATTTGCTGCATTCACTAATATGAGCTGAATCAAAGAACTGTCTCTAGTATGAGCTGTAAGTGCTAAAAATAAGCAGATTGCTTAAAAAAGTATTTTATAAATACTGTGCTAACTTATGGCTGTAATCGAAACTTATTTACATCTTTGAAATTCCTTGTAAAATCGAAGCAGTAGAATTAAGATAAGAATTTAGGATTTTGTTGCATTCTCTAATATGAGCCAAATTCAAGAACTGTTACTAATATCAGCTATACGTGCTATATATAATAGCTATAATATATCTCCAGCTTTCTTATTCTCATAAAATTTAGCACTAATAAAAACTTTGTACAACATGTTTTAACTTATAGCTGTAATCGAGTTTTATTTACAGCTTTCAAAACATTTCTTGAAACAGCGAAAGCAAAACTGAAAGTTAACATTCCTAAAATTCACTAATTGGAGCCAAATCAAAGAGCTATCTCTAACGTGTGCAAAATATAAGAGCTATGATGCATTTTTATTATAAAATTCTTAAATATCACAAAATTTAGTAAAAAAGCAAAAATATTATAAGCGACAAACAACAACCAAACAATATTATAATATTAACCAACATTTTTAGACAATTATTACGATTGGTTCTGATTTACATTTTCCCAGACTCTTTGAAACTTTTTTTAAAACCATGGAAGCAAAACAAGGATTAGAACTTAAAAGTGCGTTCCAATCATCAGTTTGAGATACTTCTGGAAAATTTTTGCACACGAAACCAATAACTGCTTCTTCCAAATCAGTGTCCTCATGTGTATTTGCCATTTCCAAGATACGAGTCGCTGTTTTCACTTTAATGTCCGACGCCAAAAGAGTTGAACAAATCTTGGAAAGTTTATGCACTTCGTATTTGTATGCTAGCTCATAGAGTGGCATGATGAGATCTGTATTTTTAATTTCGACGTCGCCAGAGTAAAGGAAAAGCAAAAAGATATCAAACACTGATTTGTCGACGTTAGCAACGTCGATAACATTCTGGATGTAATTTTGCTCAAAGGTTTTTTCAAAAACACTCGATCTTGAAATAAGTATGTTCTTATGGGCAAGCAGTTTTCCATTAGCGAATCGAAACTCAATATCGTAAAACTTGGGATTGTAATATAAATTCTTGTAATCACATTTTAAATCATCTAGGCATTCGTTTAGAAGTACATGGGGCTGCTTTTTAACACTGATGCTGACCTTTGCTTTTACTAGAACATTACCTTTCATTATGATTTTGTCGGTCGACAACTTAAATGGCCTGCCGCCGTTTATTCCAGGTACACTGTGTTGACAATTGGGCATGTCTAAGTAGTCCCCGTAGCAATATTTCGTGCATTTAGAATTGTAGACCTGTTCTATCGAATCTCGCCAATATATTTCCTTTCTGTCATTTTGAATCTCAAAAAACATGGTGGCTTTGATGTCACAGATGCTAGAATCTGTTCTTTTCAAACCAACTCTCATTTTTTTGGCTACCGTTTCTACTTCTACGAGAACTTGCCAAGTTGTTTTGCAAACTCGAGTCGTTGTAAAAGGTGGACTGTTTGCAGCATCGAGTTTCGATACGTTATCGATAGTCATTTCAAAATCAAAGCAGTCTATTTTATCAGTGCTTCCAGCCACATCGAACTGCATTTTCCAGTGTTTCATCTTGCAAGTTTATGTCTTATAATTTTAACTAGATGTTCAAAGATCTTATTTAGTAAATAAAGTTGTTTACTGGAATATTACATACATTTGCAGGCTTGTGGGCTCAATCTAGGCTTATAAACCTTTGTCATATAAAAGGACAGATAACACAACAACTGTGCTTACTAACGAATAGCATACAACCGCTTATGAAAATATCAATAGTTGACTAAGAAGCCAGGTAGTGGGACTATGTGGCTGAGGGGTACTTCTTTTCTGTGGAGCTTATGACAGCATGGAGGTAGCCGGTTTGGTTCCCTGCTTAAACTTCTTGGCAGAAATACGTATCTTCCCAATGTTCTTGAATATTTTTTACTCTCAGCTTATTAGTTTTTTTATAACTGTCGTTCAACAGCCGACCTAATTCTGGGCTTACGACTATCAATGTTCAACTCCGTAGCCTTTTAATTTTGAACCTAATCCAGAAGACAGACTAGGAAACTCCTGGATCAAGTATTGCGTGAAATTTGCCTTCGTGGAGGATTTTGATGGAACTAATCCGCATTTGCGCTATATGGGGAAGAAAACCACGAAAACCTTCCACGGTAAGCTGACAGCAAGGGGACTGTAACTCATGATCCGTCAAATAAGGATATTTTACGTTACCACTGTGGTAGGTGCGAGATAGGTGCGGAAATCGCATTGACGAGTCATCTCTGGGACTCGAAATACGAGCCAGCGAACATGACGTCCCGCAGCGGACTGATCGTTAAGGCACGGTTCCCAGAAGATCACCGAAGTAAAGCATCACTGACTGCGGTCAGTGTGTGGATGAGTGACCACTTTGATCAGCCTGCGATGGGACCGATTGTGCTGTATTGGTTCGGATTCAATAGTTCTACCGTAAAGTGCTCGACGTAGTGCTCAGATCGTCTGGCTACCAAAGCGGGGTATCCATCCTTTCTACAGAGGATCAAAATTGAGATGGCAGGTCTTCGGATCATCCACAGGGATGTTTCTCAGCCCATCACCCATTGCCCATTATTCAACTCTAGTGTGATGTAAATAAAGAACCTACTTGCCTACTGGGTGGGAGGTCCGGACTGGTGGCCGAGCGGTTTGTGTGCCTGACTGCGAAGTAAATGACTGCGAGTTCGAATCCCGCTCTGGGCATGGATGATTATATCTATGTGTTGTCCTCTAGTGTGTGTGACGCGTGAATGTGGCCCACCCTATGAACGGGTATATGTGGCAATGTGTCGTGGTGTTGCTCGCCTCCGTGACTCAGGTTCACAGGTGCCCACTGGGTAACGATAGATGAGCAACACTTCCGGTATCTTTTCAGCTGAAGAAAGTCGAAGTTCAGTACCTGCCATTGGAAAAAAAACCTAGTGGGAGGCCCCAGCACCATAGTAGTATAGGTCAGTGTTGTGGAGTGACTAATTGTAAGGCTCGTTATATAAAAATTGATAAACTCTTCACAAAACCCAACTATAAAATAAAACCAAGGGGTTTTGTAGAGATAATGAAACAAGTAAAGCATATTTTACAAGAAGCAACATATGGATTCTTCAGAAACTCTACAGACGTTAAGCATTTTTGTGCGACGTAATGGTAAAATTTGAGTTCTGCAGTGACTTTAGGACAGAAACAACGAACTAGTGCCCTGCTTCATTGTTGTTTGCGACTCTAGTTTCTCTGACATCCTGAAAATTGATTCAATGCATGAATATTTAGGACCTTTATTGCCCGGTGTGTTTTTTCTGCGATACGCAATGAAGCTTAAAGGTTCGATTTTCATCGTAGTCTGGATGTATTTGTTGTTTGTTTAACTCACAAATCTGTTATTTGTGTTAATTAATACTGGTAGGTGCCCTTCCAAAATTGAAGAAACAGACAACACAAATACATCCAAGGGTATAACGTGAAATGAATCCGCTACTTCCATATCTTAGAGTGTTCGCCGATATGACAATACCTCTCGATTGAGTAAACCTCACCTATTAGTTTCCTTCATTTTTACTTCGTTTTTATATCCGTCATTGAACAATTTTCAGTTTACGACTACTAATGTTCAACTCCGTAGCCTTATAATTTTGAACCCAATCCAGAAGACAAGGAAACTCCTGGATCAGTATCCCCAGAGGTATTGATTTGTTATGGGAACGTGGAGTAATTTGCGACTCGACAGATTTAACGTGCATCAGTCACCATTTACTCCACGGGGAATCTTCAGCCGTACTGGGATCGAACCCATGAACTCTTGGACAAGGGCCCAGTGCCCAACCAACCAGGCTATCCTGGCCTCATTTTTACTTTGCAAAATCTTTTTATTTGAACTAAGCTAGTATTTCAGCAAAGCTAGTTCAGCTAAATTAACGTTTTTCACTGGTACTGGTAAGCGCTCAGGGTTATTTCTTTGACTTCTAATCGCTCAGTTGTTAAATTAGGGGTCCCGCAGTGGACTGGTCGTAAAGACACGATTCTCAGTAGTAAATCGAAGTCACTGGCTGTGGTCAGTAAGTGGGTGGTGACCACTTTGGTCAGCTTGTGTAGGGAACGAAAGTGCACGGTATCGGTCCTCGTTAAACTATTCTACTATAAAGTGCTCAACTTCTCGTGCAGGTCGTCGGGCTACCAAAGCAGGAGAGCTATACCCTCTGCAGCGGATCAAAATTACGTTGGCATATCTTTGAATCATCATCCTCAGGGATGTCTCCCAGACAGCCGCCAATAGCCCATTGTGCAACTCTAGTGTGGTGTAAATAAAGTGCAGCAACAGCAAATCCTTTTTCAATTTGTTAGATAAATTTTAGGCGCCATCCTGGCCAGACGCTCTGTAGTGTGAAGGTAGTGGGTTTGAATCCCACCGTATCCTTCTGGTGAATCTATCTAACTTGTGCTATACCTTCTTTCAGTGAAATATTTTCTTAACATGTTTTTACATTTGTATAAGTCGCACATTGTTATGAACCTATTAGTCTGAAAATGTATGTATAACATTAAATAAAGAATCATATTAATCTATAATTTTTCTAACTTAGGGTAGAATTCTGGTCAACATATTTTCTGCTGATGATTTAATAACAGTTATTTTATGTATGGATAAAGCTTACTTATTTTGATGAATACGCAGAAAGAATCGTATTAAAAGATTGAAGAAGAAAAGTAAGCTATTCAAGTATCTGGGCTTAAAGATGTGCTTCCAAAACTACAGAAGTAAATCTGTTGTAAAATGCCTTGTTTGTTCGAAGTCTTTTAATAAAATACATCAAATGTTAAAAAGCAATTTGGAATTAATTTTGTGTATCTAATGTTGTTGTTGTTGTTCATTTACGTCGCACTAGAGCTGCACAATTGGTTATTGGCGACGGTCTGGAAAACATACCTGAAGATGATCCGAAGACATGCCATCATAATTTTGATCCTCTGCAGAGGGGTTGGCTCCCCTGTTTTGGTAGCCCGACGACTTGCGCGCGAAGTCGATCACTTTATGGTAGAACAGTTTATAAAGGATCGATACCGTGCACCCTCGGTTCCTACGCAGACTGATCAAAGTGGCATCCACCTGCAGATAATTCGAGGGAGATTTGCTGCTTTTTCAGCATCAGTTTAAATGTTGAGAGTCAAAGATTTCGACTAAAAAATAAAATTAATAGATTTTGCACTTTAAGGAAAGTTGTTCCCGAAATTTTTCATAATGAAAACACATTTTTACAGATATTTCTGTATCTGAAGAATCCTAATTGTGATATATTGCATTTATTCCATTGAGTATTTTACATTAGATCAATGGCCAAGTTAGCCTGGTTGGTAGGGCATTAGACCCATGTCCAAGAAGTTGTGAGTTCGATCCCCGCCAGCCGAAGACTACCCGTGTAGTAAATGGTGACTGGTGCATGTTAAATCTGTCAGGTCACGAAGTCGACCATGTTTCCCATGACAAATAACTCTGGGGGTTCTGAATTGGAGATTGATCGTTGTCTGGTTCAGGTCAAAAATTACGATCTGTGAATGAATGAAAGGAAGTATGAATGGATTCGCCCTATAAACGGGTTGTGAGATGTGTGGGGCTGTAGTCGTATATCATAGATGGCGCCACTAAAAAGCAAGAAACGCATCTACAGCCTTTATGCTTAGTTTCACCAATGTAGTCTTACTGGATTGGCAAGTGACATTAGAAACAACAACAACAACTTTAGATCAGACACTAGTCATGTATTAAAGCAATCCTGCATTAAAGTGAGGTAAAGAATGTTAGTAAATCTAAGAAATCCCCACTGAGTATAGTGAGCATAAAAACCTATTTGATTGCAGAAGGAAACTGACAGAAATTGAAGCATGATTTTTAGAAAGGTGAGAGAGAGCGAGACAAAGAAATAGATAGAAAGAGAAGGACAGAGAGAACAGTAGAAGAATGCTCTAACCACCATGGAAAATGGAGTGTATGTCCCCCCCCAGGGTGAGTTAGGAAGCTTTATATAGTAGTTGCTGCACAAATCTAAGTTGTATAAAATAAAGAAATTTGCTTCGATATTTTCGATCACACTTTCCTCACTAGTGATTAGCAGGGCTAAAGAGAATAAAAGGGCTGGTTCANGAAATTTGCTTCGATATTTTCGATCACACTTTCCTCACTAGTGATTAGAGGGTGTTCAAGAGTGTTTTTGTTTCCTCGTTTCTTAGGAACTCACAGTTGACTCTTAATGTTTATACTCTTTGACTTCATTATAAAGGATTTTTAAAATTTTAAACTGAATTTAATGATTACAAGACACAGTGTACATGCCTGGCAGTAATCCGTTGGTGGAAGGGGGGATCCCTTTGATCTGCTTGTGTAGGGATCGAAGCTACGCGGTATCGGTCCTCGTTAAACTGTCTTACCGTAAAGTGCTCGATTTTGTGCTTAGGACGTTGGGCTACCAAAGCGGGGGATCCATCCTTTCTGCAGAGGATCAGAGTTGTGATGGCATGTCTTCGGATCATCCTCAAGGATGTTTCCCAGATCATTGCTAACTGCC